GAGGGTAAGTTTAAGTATGAAGTAGGGGAGGGGAAATATGTGGCTGCATTACATTAGTATCAGCTGGTGGCGACTAGGAACATATGATTTATGCATTTATTACCTCATTTATTTGTTGTCAAATTTAACGTAAACTTTTGAAAAATTTGCAATATACCCGTTAAGTGTCTGCAAACAGCTAAAATCGGGTTTAAAAAGATAAAGAAAGATATCTAATTATTTAGTTAATTATAATTTTATAATTAATTACATTTAATGAATACGCAAATATACTTCTCAATGTATTATGAACGCTTTTACGTGGTTATTTCATGTAAGGTTACGTTAGAGTGCACTGATTTAATTTTTTTTAGGGATAAGAGAGCGCTTGTTGGTCTTTGGCGATAAAAACATAGGACCAGTAATGGTCAATATAACTTGGTCTAGAATAATAAACACTGAAATACTGGGAAAAATCACCATAAAAATGTCTCAAGCTAATCTATAAGGATAACAAATAATTCAAAAAGACAGTTTTATCCATGTAAAATTCAGGTAAACCAAGTTATTATATTGGATTCTTGATAGCTATTGGCAAATATTCAGTTATATTCTTATTATATATAATAATTTAAAACTGTCACAGAAATCCCTGCATTCCTTTTGCTGCCTGTTTATATATTCTACTATTGTTATAATTAATGTTTATTGTTATTTATATAATATCTTGTTATATTGTTATATTTTATATCATTGTGTTGTACTTGTTCTTCTATTTATCGAATATTTGCCTCATGTTGGTTGTTATACTGTTTTCAAACAACCCTTTTGTTAACTACCATTACGTTTTGTCATAGGATATTTTTATGTACTGTATTGGTTATCTGACAGTTTGGATGAATAAATAAGTAAATAAATTATCATTATCATTATTAAATTATACAAAAATTAACAGAAAAAGCTTTCCGACTTACACTACTCTTAGAATTATCAAAACGCGTTTAACAGACCATTCGTACTTATTTGACAACTAATAAAGTTATAACATTTGCAGGACTAATTTTCTACCTAATTTGTGTTGTACCTATGCATATATTTGGGGTTGTTTCTACTGTATGACATGTATTTATTTCAGCCATAAATTCGAAACACGCTTTGAAGCCGAATTAGTTAAAATACAGCCATAAAACATACCTCGAACGGTATTACCGTCGGTAAACCACTTGCCAATACTGACACGATAACACAGAAACGTAGGGAGAGAGGGAAAGGGAACAGTGAGCTTTGATGTGATATATTATACACATTGTAATTGTTCCAAGCATTGTACGTATTGATTGAGTCAAGGGCGCACTATTGTAGTTGGGCCTGGCTCGAATAAAATCGGTCAATTTATTTCCCCTCCCCTCCCGTCCCGCTCCCCCTTCACTAGATAATGCTTAATTACTGTAACGTCAGCAACGGCAATATTTTTTTATTTCACACTCTAATCCGTGTTCATCACACCTCTTTGTGAAATGTTTAAGGTGTTAAAATTACTGATTTTACAATATATTATCAAAATATAATGCATCAAACATTAAACATTAATCAAACATTAAATGTATTTAATGTTTTCTATATTATCTCAGTAAAAATAATCTGAAATGTGTTTGTTATTGTGTCGTAGAATAACAACAATTAATTAGAAATATATTGTTGAATGTAGGGTAAAATTAAATTATCTTATGTTTACAAGGGAAAATAAACAACTGAACAAATATTTATAAACAAAACTCACGTAATTCCGTTGTGAAGTAATAATAATCCGTCAGTTGCGGTAAATTAATTAAACAAAAACAATATCTCAACCAAAATAATAAAGCGAATCAAATTGAAGCTCCATATTTAGCAAATTTAAACATTTAGTGCACATATTGCTATCGGATTTTACTATTGTTCATCATATATTTGTTGTAGATTTATATTCTCAAGCTGGCTCCAATTGAATTTAAGTTATTATTTTGTAGGCTACGTTTTGAAGCAATGCTCGTATAGTCCCTAAGTTAAGTCATTGACAATTTAAGTTATGGATTTTATTTTCTACAGAACAATATTGTTGACAACAATATTTGTTTACGTCATAGTGTAATATCACACAAACTAGACAACGACGAATTTAAAATGAAAGACAAAACGATACCGTACTGCAAATCATACATTAAGGACAATTCTACGGCTGATTATCACAATATCACGAAACCTTAACAATTAAATAAGAATAACATCGTAATTGTTAACCTAAGCGTAATTTGACAACCTCGATATTGGGCTTTACCTAAACCAATATTATTTCTGAGTTTCCAATTGATGCTGTATGTGGTGAGTTAACGTCCCCGTTATAAGTTGCGGCGAGCGTTTTGTGTTTATAATATATATATAAGGTTAGTATTTGTTATCTTTCATTAGATTATATGTTTACTTATCCCACAAATAGTTTTAGCCAACATGTAAACATGTTTTGTAAATAGTAATAGTTAGTCATTCCAAAAATGAATGAATCCCCGTTGTTATTTTTTATAGCCAGTATGAAATTTCTTTACTTTTAAAGGTTATAAATTGATGTACTATTATTGCATAGCAATGTAGCCTAGTTTTAAGTGCACCTAGTAATTCCGTTATTTGGGCGAATCAATGGTTTTATCTTTCATATGGTTTCAGAAATAATGTAAAACGGTTATGTATATTTTAAAAACATGATAATATCGTGAAAAATAATATTTAAGGGATAATTGATTACAATATTAGGTCTTACATTTTTTGTAACTTATAAATAATTCCATTTGACTTGTTTGGTTATAAATGTTTGTTTTTTCCATTTAAAAATAGCTGTTTTTTTATTAATTATTTAAACTCGTTGTATAGGTAATGTATGCAACGATACTTATTGTCATATTCAACTGTTATATTATTGAAGTGTTTGTTGATAAACCTACTGTTTGTAAATATATTCATGATGACGGATTGATCGCAATTATAGGTTGCTATTATTTTTTGTAGGTACAATTTTATATTTTAATTTTATATTCACTGGACGCTTAACTTGTACCCAACCTCCAGCCGGATACCTAAAACCATTACATTAAAATAACGAACAAATAGTAAACCCAAATTAATACGATAAATTCCAACGCCAGCATTATACAACCACCCAAATAGTCTTTTATTTACAAAGTAAATATGAATAAAACAATCCAACTGTAGGCAGTAGAACAAACAAAAGTAAAGCTGAAAGTTCATTTCAGCTTCACACAGCGTCGGAAATGTTCAGTAAAGTAAACAACGTTTGGAAATATCTCGGCCCAGCGGCGGATACGGCGTTGTAGGAATAAACAAAACACAACAATGCTACATAACGTGCAGTACTGAGTACAGAGTAGTGAGTAGTGAGTAGTGAGCGTGTTGCTGAGTAATGGTGTACCGTGGTAGTAATGAGTAGTGAGTAGTGTACGATAAGCCGCCGGTAGTTTCCCGGGTTTACGAGCACACACCGGTAATTAACCACATGTTAGGCCCCTCGCCCACTATACGATTTCGGTCGTACGACACTGTGTCGGAACGACAACATTTCAACAGTGAACCATTGGATCTTATGAGAGCTCGCCCACTGTACGATAATCTCACGACTACGATAAACTGTCGTGAAGCAGTCGTCCACTGCCACTGTGATACACGACTGTCGTACGACTGTCTAACTCGCAGTGGCGTGTATGATCAAATGGGCGCTCGCCCACTATACGATTTTTATCGTATGTCGTGCGTTCTCTCCAAGTCCTCCTAGTCCTAGTTCGCGCTGAGCCTTCTCGCTGTTCACTTCGCATGACTTTCGCTAATTTAAGTTTTGTCATTTATAATGGTGTTTTCGTCTTTTTAAATCGTTTTTTGCATAATTTTGATCATGCGTATATTTTTTACAATTAATTCATACTTGTTTATTATAATGTTTGATATATCGCTTAGTTTTTGTCTTTTTCAGCCAACATTTTGCGCGATTTTGATCTTGTCTGTATTCTTGGCAGTTCGTTCATATTTTTCTTCATACTATTTTAATGTACTGCATTACTTATAACTAAATATAAAAATTTAATAAAACAATGCGACTTTTATTATTCTTTAATTTTTGTATAACCATTGTTATTAATATATCGTGTTAAATAGTTTGTCTAAAATACCTAAGAATTACTTTTTGCAGATTATATTTTTAAACAAATAGTATTAATATTTAAAAACAATACAAAACATGTTCGAACATACAAACCTTTGACCAAGACCATCCCAAAACCTATGAAAGTTATATAACAAACATTAGTAAAGTTAAAAACTTGTTAAATTAATGGCACGGACTCGTATAATTTTAAAATTTCTTTAAATAGGAACATTAACTTAACTTTAACCTACATTAACTTAAGAAATAATCTAAACATAAAAAATAATTACTTTTTTAATGATGCAGCCCCACATTGACCACTTCCAACAAAACGTATTAAATATATAATCTCACTAACCTCAACGTAATAGCTAGAGTTTCTTGTAATGCAGTTCCTCAGTTTAGTATTTCGGTAAGCAATTAATTGTAGCTTTTATTTTCTGGTGTAATTCATCAAAGTAAGCAGCAGACATTCTGAAGTAGTTGAAAAACTTGTTATCATCACGCCGAAGTTTATCAAAAAGAGTTTGAAATGATCCTGTGTGTTCCTACTTTAATTAATAGGGTGAATCCAATACTTCCGCTTAATCCTACGACGCTTAATTCTGTGCCATAGCAGCCACATAGCAACAACACGTAACGGATCCATTGTTTGACTAAAAAACATTGTTAAGATATTGCGCAACACACTCACTCCTCCACGGCTACCGAACAACTGGTCATTTATCCGATAAAGTGTCGTATAGTGGGCGAGGACCACACATATGATAAGAATATCGTACGACACAGTGTCGTACGACTGAAATCGTAAAGTGGGCGAGAGGCCTTACCCTACCTGTTGCCAATGGTCCTCCAAAGACGGCTGTGCGGAGAAATATCCCTTGTCGTGAATATCCTGCAGCTCCTGGAAGATATTCCCGCTGGGTAAAATATCCATGGTGAAGTCGGTAAAGAAACACAGAGTAAACAGCAGATCAGTATAGCATAACCGTTCAGTCAGCTATTAAAACACGGTAATAGGGACACCCAAAGACCGTCTCATGTTTTTGAGGTTTACACACAGATATTTACAATATCGATTGGCTTAAGTATCGACGAGAATGTATTACCTACAGAAACACTGTTTCACTGCACTCGCTGGGGTTAGAACTCGCGCACTGAACCACCGCAGAACGGAACAGTTGATAAATGGAGGAAAAACGCCGGCTGATAAGAGAAGTGCGAGGAACTACGATACGAGCTGCTAGGGTGCCTGCTACAGCACGACTGACGACTGTCGGCGCAAGCCGGCGGGAGACGACGCGAGCGCTTCGAGCTTCCAGCGCCTTCCGCGGCGAGCACGCAGCGCCACCGTCCACCACCGATATTGGACCTCAGAAATGTTGCAATTAAAATAGTTTCTGCCCGTTATATTTAAAGATTTCAGGAGTTCTTCGTCAAACAATTCGGATTAAAATTTTCAAAGTTTTGTTCCCGGTTAACTAATTGCAATCGGAAAACGAGGAATTGAAATTTGTTGAATCCGACGTAGAGGTAGATGGAATTTGTGTTCTGATTGCAATGCTGAACATCGAAATATGACTTAGTAAAATGTATATCATGCGACCGTATAAATTAAATTGTATGTTATTGGTCTTTGTTATCCTTTGTATTGCTACAGGGCCAGACATCTCCTTTTGTGTTTACTTGCTGTTAGAGCAAACAGATTAGATGGAATAACATTATGTATTTTACCTACGACCGTTTTTTTTAAGTACCGGTAACCGTTTCAGTACAGTTCTTAGAATTGAAAAGTATCTCATAACAGCATTGTTTACTTTCATAACAGCACAGTTTTACTCATAACAACACGGGTAACGGACCAATGAGGTTCAAGGATTGGGAGAGGAGAAGCAAAATTGTAATGATTCGAAATTCAACTAATCAGCTGTTCAGGCCAATTTAATTGTTGATTGGTGCAATTAGTATTTGATACAATGTTTCGTTGCATCACTGTCAGTGGCAATTAGAGGATATAAACAAAAACATAACCTCTCTTAGAAGTTATGAGTAGTGAGTGATTTTTAGTAATTAAAACACCGTCGTAGGTAAAGTAGTGTACGCAACTCGCGTAAATAGTGTTAACGACACGAGTAGAAGTTTTTAAGGCACTCGCCAAGGCACGTACCTTAAATTTTCTACTCGTGTCGTTAACGCTATCTTTACGCAATCGTTGCGTAAACTACTATAACAGCTTGTTATTACCCTATATCATCTCAACAATGTTACAAACTTTTAAAATAAAAAGGTTAATAAACATAATCATTTGTCCAATATGGGATGAATATTGTGTAGTTATAAAACATTAGGTATACCGTCGATTTAGGTTTTCAATCCTCGCTCATTCATTTGTATCCTTCTGTAATTTTGTAATTAAACCCTGGCTATTGCATACGGTATTGCATTGAGAAACTCATCAACGGCGACGAATGCATAAATGCACCGACGATATAAACACTGTCATTTGCATCTAGTGGAAGCGAACGCAAGGTCGTCAGGAAAAACTGTAGATGACGTAACCAACACAGCTGACAGAGAAGTCATGTGACCTTGTGACCTAGTGCATAGCTCAGGTGACCTTCACGGGCTGCAACTTCATAGGGAACTAATAACGTTGTCAATGCAACAGGTTTGCCTACATAACTATTATAGGCAATTACTATAAACTATGGTAGATAATTCTGGTTAGGTTGTCGCTTTGACTATGGAACTAGACTACCCATTTCCGTATTTAAGGTTTTGTCAGTTTTAGAATAACCATTAAAATAGTTTAATTAAAACACCGATAAAGTGCATATGTGAATTAATGATTTTTAAGTACCAATAAGACAACTTTTTTACTGTATGCTATAAAGAATTGACTGCAAAATATAACTTTATTATTTTACTTCATGAATATAATTTTATTATTTTACTTAAAGATACATTATTTTATTAGTCCTCTATAGCCACATCAACTATTAAGGTAAACACTAAGGGCGGTGGGGATTTAATTTCAGATGAAGGACATACTGTGAGTTGCTAATTCTACCAAGGTATTTGTAATCAATAAATAATTACACATAATGATACTTATAGATGCAACATCTACTTTAGTATCCAGAAGTCGACTGTTTAGCTACTGTATACTGGAGCATCTTCCCAAAACTTTTCAAGTAATACTTCATACTTTTCAATTCAGATACTAAAATTTGACTTCTCCTATTCCGCCGATTTTGAATGTGTGTTTTAAGACTCGATGTGCTCAAACGTGCTTTGATTTCGTGTAAATGTTGTTTCATTCGACGCAGTGCGCTTTAGTTTTTAGTTATAATAATACGTTGCAAATATATTTTTAATTATTACAAAATACGAAGTGCTAAAATAGTTGATTGCAAGTTTTCATGGTTAATAATCTGATGTCAAAAATATTTAATGTCTGTTTTATTGAATGTAGAACCATTAAAGGATTAGACCTTTAATATATGGTAGAACCATTGACTATATAACGGTAGAACACAGTAAGGAAGTTCATATTTCTTGTAAAGTGTACGCCTTCATCACCTTATATTAGTACGAAAGTAAATTGTATTAATAATAAACATTATTCTTCAGTATTCAGTACCACTACAAATAAACTAATTATACACCTAATACCGTATACTACTGCAGTACTTAAAAACTTTATACTGATATACAGTTGCCAAATTACCCCAAAACTACTTTAACACCGGAATACTTAATCGAAAACAATTACTTGCATAATTGTACTACAATACTTAATAACTTTATAGTGATATAGGCCTACAGTTGCCAAATTACCCCAAAACTACTTCAACACCGGAAATCCGAATCTAAAACAATGACTTGCCATCGACACGTACAATATTGATATCAGCCCAAGTTGATATTTCAATGCGGAGGCGATAACTTGATATAAAGTAGCAGAATATCCACGATTGTTCCTTCCATTGTTTTGCCCGCCTTCGCGAGACTTAAACTAGTTTAAAGTTTATCAATGGCTCATATCCACAGCTCCCTCGCAATCCAACTCCCCGACGTAGGTACAATGTGCTACAAACACTTTCTTTGAACCCATCGCCATCATATTAGAGGGGTTTTTGATACTAATACCCCCACCGCAGCAAAACTGCAGTCTAAGCGAATTTCCATTTACCTAATTATATGTTCAATTTAGTCGGTTTAAATAATATTAGGTTTAACAAATTTCTAGTTTTGCTGCGACAGGGAGGGTAATAAATTGCGTCTTCAGCAAGATAATTATAGTTGAGTATAAAATAATTCAATTCGACAAGTAGTTTGATTAAAATATATCCATAAACAAGCATACTACAACATTTAACTTATTCTCCATAAGAATAACATGGCATTTTTTTTATTTACATTTTTTTTATTTTCCTCCATAACCAATAACCCTAAAAAGACACTTCAATATACTAAATTAATTGTTTTTAAAGCTCTTTAAGATGGTTTAAAGTGAAATTGGGAAATTTTATGTTTTGAGGTCAAACGTCATGAGAAAACCCAATTTTTACCCCATAAACAACCGTTTCCATGACTCGATCATGCTGGTTCCTAAAATCATTCAAGTTTATCCCAACCTACACCTTCAAGCGAAATTTCATCAAAACCGGACAAAAATTACTCAAGTTATCGCGTTCACTGACGTATCCCAGGTCTAGGTCTTACCGTGCCACCTACGGTAATAGCTACTTCCCTATAGGGAAATTCGTTAAAATTCAGATGTACTTTTGAAATTTTAGCGAATTTCCCTATAGGGAAGTAGCTATTACCGTAGGTCTCATGGTAAGACTTAGGCCCGGGACCGATTTACTTTTTCATTTTGATGTCCCCAGAGGCCAAAAACACCATTCGTTCAAATTTTTATACTGTATATGTATATATATATATATATATATATATATATAGATTTATATATATATGTGTCCGTGAACACGATAACTTGAGTAATTTTTATCCGATTTTGATGAAATTTGGTTTGAAGGTGTAATGCGGGATAAACTTGAATGAGTTCGCGATCCAGTATGATCGGACCATGGGAACAGGGTTTTATGGGGGGTTTTATGGGGTAAAAATTGGTTTTTCTCACTTTTGACCCTCAAAACACAAAATTTCCCAATTTTTCTCTAATCCTTCTTAAAGAGCTTAAAAAAACAAACAATTCAGTATGTCAAAGTGTTTTTGTACGGTTATTGGTTACGGAGAAAACTAAAAAAATTGTAAATTTAAAATTCCCATGTTATTCTTATGGAGAATATTGTAACATGTTGTAGTTTGCTTGATTATGGATATCTTTTGATCAAACTTGGCAAATATATTCATTTTCTACTAAGCAATAATTATTTTACTTAAAACACACACTTTATTAGTTTCCTTGTAGCAGCAAACCTAGGTACTCGTTAAACCTAATGTTATTTAAATAGATCGATTGAAAATCAATTCAGCCAAATGGAAATTCGCTTAGACGGCAGGTTTGCTGCGGCGGGGGTATTTCAATATGTCTGTGGGTTCTATCAAATTTATAGAGCAGTGTTTAAAGGATTGTGATTGTAATGTGAAATTAGCAGTTCGAACCTTTCGTTCTCTGATAGTGTTCTAATATTTTTTACCATTAATTTATGCAATTATAGTTGTGTCTAAAATGTGTTCCTACTTTAGGAAATAACAAACATTTTCAATCTCTATTCTATAAACTAGACAAACGAAATAATTTCTTATCCAGTGTGAGCATCAGGCAATTACCCATGCTTACTGTGATAAAATGTTTTACTATACAATTAAATTGAATCACTGTACAATTAATGCTACTGAAATCTAGTCGGGCCAATTAAATAGTATTATGATTAATACTACAATATTGTTATTACTGTATAAAACTTATATTGGACATTGGAGTTGGATTCACCGTCAAAGATATTATTTAAACTTAATTGACTTTAAGTACATTTAAACTATACTTTGACGTTTGTTTGGTTCTTCAAGTCCTTGAACGAGTGCGTAGATGGTCTTAGTTAGACCACGGACCTTCTGTCCTAGCCCGGGTTCAAATCCCGCCAATCCAGTGGTTTCTAGCAATAATGGTGTTACGCGGGTTACGCGAGCGGGTCGGTAGGAACCAGTAGAGTAACATAAATATTGTAAAGTAACAAAAAGGATTGGTGTATCAGGCGAAAAGGTCCTACCCTGCATTTGA